TCACTTGGTAGCCCAGGCTGGCCTCGAACTCACAGCGATCCGCCTGGCTCTGCCTCCCGAGTGCTGGGATTAAAGGCGTGCGCCACCACCGCCCGGCCATGATGTATTTATTTTTATGTGTTTGAGTGTTTTGCCTGCATGTCTGTCCATGCACGGTGTTTGGGCTTGGTGCCTAAAAGAGGCCACATGAGGGCATCATATTCCCTGGAACTGGAGTTGTGAGCCACCACGTGGGTACTGGGAATCGAACCCCAGGCCCTCTGGAAGAGTAGCCAGTGTCCTTAACCACTGAGCCATCCCTCCAGCTTTGGTCAGTCATTCTTGAAGAGTGGCTCTCAGTTCCCACATGTGAACTCTCCAAGCGTGCTGTTTTCAGTGCCTCTTGTTAAGGGTCATACGAAAACAGCAGTACCATTGTATGCACCGTGGACTCCTCCAGTCTGTTTTAACTGGGCACTGACATGGGGGGAAGGCCAGTGCCGAATCTTCACCACATTCCCAAAATTAGTGCAGGTTGGGTCTGAGGCATCAGCACAGTAAACCGAGCAGTTTGATTGTTCTTTTGTTTGTTTGTTTGTTTGTTTGTTTGTTTTTTGGAGACGTGGTTTCTCTGTGTAGCCCTGACTGTCCTGGAACGCACTCGGTAGACCAGGCTGGCCTTGAACTCACAGAAATCCAGAGATCACTTGCTTCTGCCTCCTGAGTGCTGGGATTAAAGGCGTGCACCACTGCCCATCAAGAGGTTTGATTTTAAGAAAAAAGTGGGGCACTGGACTCTAGAAGCAAGAGGGGCCATGAACCTAAGGCAGGTAGCTAGTGGCTGGGAAAATCCCTGGGAACTTTGTTTTATTTTTTCCCTGGTTTTCACCAAAATAAGGAAACAGCATGGAACCTTCCATGGGGCCCCATTCAGCTTTTGCTCCTAATTAAAGTGAGGTCATTCAAGGCACCCACCTAATCAGGTGCTCAGTAAAACCTTACTGCCCTTTGCCCTCAGCAGCTGCACCAAAGTGGAATCTCTATGACTTACCATACTCCAACAGCATCATCCTCCTGCGGTTGCTTCTTCCTATAGTGCATCTGATCTCAGCATTAGGTGGGGAGCAGATGGGATACGTCGTTTGTTATTACTTTTGTTTAGATGTTTAGCAAGCTGATTGTAACCGTTTGTTTCTTCGTGGATCATGAGTGCCCTCTGGGCAGGGGCCTTGCCAGATAGTTTCATTAAAATATTTAATGGATAAATTCTGCTCCTTCTGGAATTACTCTTCACAAAATGTGAATCTAGTTCTTTGGCTGAGAAGAAATTCACTGTTAGGATGGAGATTGAACCCCTTAGCTCAAGGACCCTGCCTTTCCCTAGCCAGGACCTAGGATGTCTGCCAAGTCTCCACTGTTGGAAGTGCCTCTATCCGTTACCACCAACTAATGAAGCCACCGACTAGTGAAGTCATTCCTTATACAGGAATTTTACAATGCTTCTGGGCCCAGGTTGTAACTTAAAAACTTGAAAGCCACCAGGGGTTGGGGTGGGGGTGGGGGGTGGCACACGTCTTTAATCCCAGCACTTGGGAGGCAGAGGCAGGCGGATCTCTGTGAGTTTGAGGCCAGCCTGGTCTACAGAGTGAGATCCAGGAAAAGGCGCAAAGCTACACAGAGAAACCCTGTCTCAAAAAAACAAAAACAAAACAAAACAAACTTTGAAAGCCATCACGGCTAACTTCCATCATGTCCATGGAGAGCAGGATTAAGAATGTTACAGGCTTCTTCATTGCCAGGGTCCATTCCAAATGTAATTCTGGCCCCTTATTCAGTGAGGGTTCCAGCATCTTCCCAATAAATTCTCTATAAAATACATGGAAAAAAATCACAGTGCTGTTGAGAAGGGCTGTGATCCATGATTCCTTTCCTACGCCAACCTCGGTTGCTCCTCCAGTGTTTCTGATGTCAACAGATATTCTTAGCAGTGAGGACCTTTTGTTCCCCAAAGACCACAAGGTGTCAAGAGACTATCCACACCTCGCTGCCCTCTCCAGATCCCCTACTAGTGTACTTGTTCCCATCGGTTCCTGGGGGAGCCCTCCATGTGCAAAGTTCACCAATGATAGCTGTGCCTGGATTCTGTCCACTTTCGACACCCTCTGTTATTTATTCTTTTGACAGGCTTTCTCTGTTTAGCCTTGACTGTTCTGGAACGCTGTAGACCAGACTGGCTTCAAACTCACAGAGATCTGCCTATCATTGCCTCCTGGGTGCTAGGATTAAAGGTGTGCACCACCATCACCCAGCAAATATTTACTCTTTTTCTTTCTAGATTTACGAGAGTCCTCTTGTCTTGCACACATACTCTCTAGCCTATAAACATACTAAGATGTCTTTAAAACAATTTTTGAAAAAATTTTCCTTCTGTCCTGTCTCCATTTAGTTTCTGATACATTTTTTTCTTTTATTTTTTTGAGACAGGGTTTCTCTGTGTAACAGTCCTGGCTGTCCTGGAACTCACTTTGTAGACCAGGCTGGCCCCAAACTCACTGAGATCCACCTGTCTCTGCCTCCCCAGTGCTGGGGTTAAAGGCGTGTGCCACCACCACCGGCCTGGTAAATTTCTTATGCAACAGTGTGTAGCAGTAATCTTAAAGAGTCTTATTAATAAAATCAAACCTGTGCCAGGTATTGGGGTGAACTGGAAGATCAGAGAACCAGAACAAGCCACAGCTACCTCACCTCGCTGGATCCTCAGCTGGTCTTGTTTCCTCAGACTGGAGGCCTCTGAGTCCTCATCAAGAATGGGTCTCAGCTGAACTGCTGCTCAAAAATCTGAATGCTTAACCAGGCCAAATGCTTCTAGTTCCTGGTCCTCACACCTTATATATCTTTCTGCCTTCTACCACCACTCCCTGGGATTAAAGTCGTGAGTCACCATGCTTGGCTGTATCCTTGAACACATGGATTTCTGCCTAGCTCTGCCTCCCAAATGCTGGGATTAAAGGCATGTGCTACCACTGCCTAGCCTCTATGTTTAATATTGTGGCTGTTCTGTCTCTGACCCCAGATAAGTTTATTAGGGTGCACAATATTTCGGGGAACACAATACCACCACAACAGTGCATTCTATTTTCTGCACACTGCATTCACTGATGCACTGTAGTCTGCAGCCAACTGTAGCAACACCACACTGATAGGGTGTTTCCGGTGTGCCATGCACTGCATTAAGCATTGTATTAGTCAGGGTTCTATAGAATCACAAAACTCAGGGAATGAACCTCTCTCTCTATGTGTATGTGTGTGGCTGCACTCCCCTGGGCTACAACTGGCCGGGCTCCAGAGAGCAGCACCTAGCCCTAACCCATCTTTTGTTTAGCAGACACCTTTTGTTTTTCTAGTTGCCCTATGTGAATCTTGTCTCAGAGTCTCCCAAGAATACAAAGACCTATGCAAAACTTGGTTCAGGAAACCTGTAAAACTGTGGTACCTGATGAGTCGAGGAATTTGCACTTGGCATTGTATTTTTGGTAGCTCCTTTCAGGTTTTGAACATATGGGAATCAACTGGCTAACCTGTAAATATAGAGAAAAATAAAAATAAAAATGCTCTAGGCGAAGGGCAAGTGTTTCAGTCCTTAGAGACTGGATCTCCCTGCAGCTGCAAAAGGCTAAATTCATTCTTAAGCTACCTCTGAGTTTTCTTTCCACAGATCCACATGAACCCACATACCTGTGCCGTGACACTTCGCAACGTGTGTGTGTGTGTGTGTGTGTGTACATGTATTATGGGAATTTATTGGAATGACTTACAGGCTGCAGTCCAACAATGACTAGCTGTGAATAGAAAGTCCAAGAATCTAGTAGTTGCTCAGTCCCACGAGGCTGGGTGTCTGAGCTGGTCTCCTGTATGTGCTGGAGTCCAGAAGAAGCAGGTTCCATGCCAGTGAAGAAATGGATGTGCTGACAAGGTGAGGGCAAGCAGGAGAAGAAGGAACCCTTCCGTCTTCCATTGTCTAGATGGGCTTCCAGAAGAAGGTGTGGCCCAGATCAAAGGTGTGCCTTCCTGCCTCGAGATCTGTATTAAAGGTGTGTGTCATCCTACCTCAAGATCCAGATGAAAAGCCTGTGTCATCCTGTCTCAGTGTCTGGATCAAAGGCATGTTATCTTCATGCTTCAAGATCCGGATCACAAGTGTGCCCTTCTTTTCTGGATTATAGTTCATTCCAGATATAGTCAAGTTGACAACCAAGAACAGCCATCATAAGCACGGTATGTGCATTCCCATCTATGTTTGCAAGAAAAGAAAAACCTGGTGTGGTGATGGACACCTGTAATCCAGATACTTCCAGCTGCATTGA